TATGGTACCTTCACTCACAAGATTAGCTTGGTTCCACTTCATTTAATTTCATTTCACTTTTCATTGAGAGCATTTCATTTACCGTGTTTGCCGTGCATTTTTCATTGGTTTAGTATCTAACCAGAATTCCGTAGTTGCTGTTACCACTTGGGGTGCATATCACTCATATTTTACTTTCAGCCACAGGCACGGGCAACCCAACAGGGGATTTCTTTGCTTTTGTTCATGGGGAGATGGAGCATTATATGAAACACACGTTATCTCTTGTTCATGCCCTTGTTCTTCCTGTACTTTTCGAGCCTTTTACAGGCGCAGACTGACAAAATTTTGACCATGGAGTTCGCCGTGCCTTCCCATACCTTCCTAAGGATTTTGTTAAGCCCTCATCAACTTTCTCGGAGCTTATATCTCAGGTATGTGATGTTTTATCTTTTGCCATAGTTATTTTGTCCCACATTCTTCTTCATGGTTTCTACCTCTCTCCTTTTTTTTCCCCATTCCCTTATTTTCGGGTTTACACTGTGCTTTTGCCACCCCACTGGGTGATGGCATTGGTATGCCTGTTCCCACGGGCTTTGGGTCAGTCCACCCTTGCCACTTTTAGGGTGGGATCCTAAATTCTGGACTGCCAGTTGTGGGTTCAATTTTACCTTTTTGAGAGGATAGGTCCCAATTTTCCAGTTCATCCTATCTATTCCCTGTTTTCCCGCCTTGATCTTCCTCTGACACTCTTTGTAATACCTCACTTCAATCCTCTTCCTGTCTGAGGCTCTTCACAGGAACCCCATGGGGTTTTCTGGGAAAATCCTCTCTCTCTCTCTCTTCCCTTCCACTGTAGGCCGCATGTTGTCTTTGGCTATGGCCCTACACACGTGGTTCACTTCTCTTTAAGTTTAGGACTTTTGGGGTCGTGACGCTATATTCTTGCAAACCCCTCGCCAAACTCCATATATATGGGACCTTCTTATGGCCCTGTTTTTAGGATGTTTCAATGGTGACACGATCACTGTGTCTTTGGAGTTGTGGGTGGCTTCTGCCCAACAGTGATCCACTTTTCACATCAGGTGCCTCGTTGGTGTCCGTCGGAGCAAGGTGTGTCCCTTGTCCCAACCTTACCCTTCATAGCCCTGCCTGTCCCAGCTTCCCACAGTGCCACAGTTTGCCGCTTTTTACGATGATACATGGTATGCAGGCAACGGTTCCGGTGACTGCCTGGTGAGTTTGGAACTGGAGGCAGCTTGTCTGGCGAATTTCGTATATCAGAGCAACCCTTTCCTCTCTGAAGTTCGGGTTTGCTGTGTCCTATCAGAGACTTTCGTCTTACCCTTTTCTTTTCTCTTCTGTTTACTTCCTCCTCCTCGGGATCCCTGGTCAAGCCATTGTCTATCCAAAGCAGTACTCAACCTCCTTACCCAACAGTTTGTCGTACCTGCTGTATTGGGTCATGTGAGTTTCACTTCTGCCAGTTTGCCCATCATGGGGGTGGTATACTTTTTTAGTGCCCTGCCCTACGATCTGGCTTCTGTGCCATATGTTTTTGTCGAGTGGTTTGCCCCTTTGCTTGGCATATTCATACCCTGAGGCTGTGCTTTCAGATGTACATGGATGACTGGCTTCTTCTTGCCCATTCCTTATGGGAGTCAGCCAGTCCTATTCGCCACTCTTTCTCAAAGCTGTGTGGGTGGGATGGTTGATCACCTAGGAGGGATCCTTCCTTCATCCTCCCCAATACCTTGTTTTTTTAACACCCATCTTAGTCCAGCCCAACCTTATTCTTTTTGGCTCCATTCTATGGAACTGGTCGTTTGAACAGCCCTGTCTGCTCCTTTAGTACTAGTGAGGTTCTATCATTTTTGGAGAGGTGGTAATCTTTGACACATATCATACCCCTTGGCAAGGTGCATATGCAGTTGCTTCAGTGGGCCATTCATGACCAGTGCAACCTCACATGGGATCCCTTGGATGCTCCTATTCACCTTCCCTCCTGGTCAAAATCTTTGTGTTTTGAACATTGGATCTTATCTGTTGGGCCCATTGCCATCACATTCGTTTAATGGCGTATCATATTCCAGGTGCATTCAATCTAGTGGATTGTCTTTGGTTTATCCCATGGAGTGGTCCTTCATGCCCTTACTTTATTTCTGTTCAAACTCATTGCTTCCTGTTCCTTGTTTCACCTTTCCCTTAAGGCATATTTCTTCCTCCTTTTGGCTTGTGGGCCTTCATGGATCGGATATTTTCCCCCTTGATGTCACCAGGACTTTGTATCATTCAACATACCTCATCCTTTATCTGGATCGTATCTTCCTTCCCCAAACCTCGGCAACTCGCAAGGGTCATTACTCCATTTTCCTTATCTCGCTTCCCTCTATCTCTCCTATCTACCCTTGTCCAGATCTGGATAGACTCCTCTGCCCAGTACATTACCTCCATTGTTATATTGCATGTACAGCTTCCTTCAAGGGTTCTTGTTCCCATCTGTTTATCCCATGGCAAACTTCCTCTGCCCAGTACATTCCCTCCATTGTTATATTGCATGTACGGCTTCCTTCAAGGGTTCTTGTTCCCATCTCTTTATCTTATGGCAAACTTCCTCTTCCCGTGATCTTTCCCCTGTTACCCTGACCAATTGGGTTCATCTTTTGATCCAGTTGGCTTTTTCCTCCTTGTCTCCCTCCCTACATGATTTCTTTCAAGTGTCTTCTCATGAACTCTGACACCTTACCTTCTCCCTTGCTTCTTGTCTTCATTGGCCAATGTAGAAGATTCTACATTTGGGCATGTGGACAACTCTGCACTCATTCATCTCACACTACTTGCAACGTATTGTGATTTCTGCTTCCCCGGAGTACTGCCTGCCACCTGTGGTTATTCTACAGACTTCAGTGAGGCTTTGACATGTGGTAGGTCCTTATTTATACTTTCTTTTCTTTCAGAGCCCCATGCTTCAATTTCACTTTGGATCCCATTCTGTGGAGAGTTGTGCCTGACCAGGTATTTTTTCTGAACACTGAATGGGTTTCACATACATGACTATAACCATTCTCTGATATATTTCTACTCAAACACAAATCTGCACTGTATGCCTTGTTGATTCACGCACTTTGTTTATGGCTATGCATGCTCACCCTTGAGATGGTGGGTTTCACATGATCACTAGTGTGTGAATAACCTCATGATGTTTGCTTCATAAAAATGCCCATCCCTGACTGTACCACCCATGGACAGAATGGGTAAGGCAGAAGGAAAATGCTGCCCATCCCTACCATGCCTGGACTGAATAAGTCAGTATGTTCTGCTTTTAAAAATAAGGTTTTGTATCACCCATTGCACTGTATCGGGTGTAGCAGTCTGTCCAGACTCTCAAATGCACTTCTTCCCCCTTTCTTCCAGTGGAGTACAGGAGTCTTTACCACTCCAAGCTGATGGGGTGGTTGACCATAGAGGCAACTTGCTGAATGGGTTCCACAAAGGTGGCTATAACCATTCAGTTCAGAGTAGGGCGGTGGTGTTTTTCTGGTGTAGAAGGAGATACAAGATCCTCTGGATGAGTGACACATACCCACAGTGAAACGCCTAAATGCAGTTCACCCCTCCAATTGGGTTCCCTCCACATACCCTCGCTTGGATGTTGGTTTTGTTGAGTGAGGTTTTGGTGATCGAGTGAACCAATCACATAAGTCCTCACACAGGTTTCAGGTTATTCATCTTCCTCTCCTCAACTCTGGCTTCTGTGTTGTGGGTCGCAGGATGTCTATGTGGCCTATTTCTGCTTCTGTCCTGGGCATTTCCTTGTTCTCAGAATGAAGAGGATTTTACAGACCTGTGGACACTTCAGACCAGTTTCACAGTCACGGGGGTTGATTGCATGCTACAGACTTCCCTCAGATACCGGATGACACAGTCCCGGGTCCCTAACTCAACGCTCATCCTGTGTCATTTCCTTGAGTTAATATTATATGTACATTCACAACTCTAGGGGCTTGAGGTGAAGACAGTATGATTTTCATCTTACTCTCATGTGGATGTCGGTATCTAGTGAATGAGGTTTTGAATGTAGTTAACTTACCAAGTACACTAGCCACTCTACACCATGGGACACATCCTCCCTCACCTACTTTCATTATGTGGGATTACTGACCTATCTTCTCCCACGCAGATGTACTCCCTCCATATTCCTACATGTTTTGATCCCACCTGTTCATGGTGAAGAGATACCTGGTTCAGAAGTGGTGCAGTGCCCCTCCTCAGATCATGTGATCTGTTTTTCTCATCTCCAGGGGTGTCCTTCAGATGCTTTTGTTGTGATATGCCTGTTCTGCCCTCGCACTGCCCTCAACGTGGGATTCAAGCTATTCTTGTAAGACGAGGTGATGTACCGAATCGGAAGTTATAATTTTCCTATATGAAAATGTACTTCCGATAGGTATTTCCCTCCTCTCACACTTCCCACCCTTCTTCCCCACAATCTTCTGGTGCTCGCATCTTCTGCCAAACTTCAAAGTGATAGTTCAGTAGTGACCATAGAGGAAATCACAGATGTCACATGATAATAGTGTTCTCCTATTGATGGAGAGTTGACGCATGATGATTTGTGTGAGAGACATGTTGGAACTTTGGATTCCAACAGAGGGATGTGGAAAGCTTATGGTATGTGTTTTGAAAAAGTTTGCATATAGAGGGCAACACAAAACGGGAAAAGCTAATAAGTACCTATTGGAAATACGTTTTCTTGTCGGAAAATTATAACTATTTCCAATTATTCCAAACCTAATGTGAGAACAATAATTGGTTAAATTGGACCCATGATTAATGGCTTAGCAAATTACACTAATCACCCATCTATACTAAGAACCATCACTAAGTTATCCTGAACAAAATATGATATATTGAATTAGTAGCCAAACTGAATGTAAATTGTGTTTTACACCAAATGAAGAAAATGATTCAGTGGAGTATACACTTTATATTTCCTTTGAAGTTCTTATTTACATGTTTAGACACTTTCATCAGTTCCTGTGAGGCGTACTTGGGCATCCATTTTACGTGAAGGATCAGTATTTCAAAAAAAAGAAGAACAGGATTTCAAGTTGTAAGTTATAAATAATTATAAACTTTTCAGGATTGTTATTGAATGTTAAAACTTATTTCACTGAAATACTCAGATTTATACAAATATAATTATGCTTAGGAAATGAAGCTTTGAAAATTATATGTGATAGTCTGATGTGTGAATATTTTAGAAAAGAATGCATTTCTGACTGCCATGAGTCCTATTAAAAAATCTATAGCACTTACTTCAACAGTTTTAAAAAATAGTTAGAAAAATAACTCACTAAACCAATAAATCTACTGTTGCAGGCTTTGTTTTTTCTTCTGTTTTTTAATTTATAAGGTTAAATTAATGTTAGCTAGAAGAATTTTTGATATCATGAAACAAACATATAGTTTAGCATTTGAAATTTTCTGGAAAGTTTAGGAAAGATATAAAATAATGTAATAATGTAAGTACAGAAAGATATCAACAAAGTACAAAATGGTTTTTAACACTAATATTGAGGAAACCTTAGGAAATGTATGGAAGGACATCAATTCAAAATAAAACATCTATAAACTAAATCAGCAAATGCAAGGATTATACTATTCACACCTTTCTCTAAACATCCACTCAAGAATTCCAGTCTGAAACGGTATGAAATAGGAGAACCAATCTGGCTTATACCAGTTATTACTGCTCTTGAGCCATCTGTAACTGCCAGGCAATGGACTGCACCAGATATACCGCTATTTCATCAAGTTACAGAATTTAGCAGATCAGTTAAACAACATCACCCAGTTGAGAAATCGATATATTTTGATGGTAATGTATCGTGGGAAGCATATCAGACAAAGTTTTAAATAATTTCCAAAGTGAATGGGTGGAGTAGTAAACAACAAGCTATTATCTTGTAACACATTTAATAGGACTAACTTTAATTACATTCATTAACCTTCCAACAAATAGCTCTAACAACTCTCAGGCATTGTTTGCCACTTTATCAAATAAATTTAGAATGTCACATCAGATGCAAGTTTCTAAAGCAATACCTAGGAGTAGAGTAAGTAGGAAAAATGAGATCTTAGCTGAACTTGCTAGAGATGTGGAAAGATTTCCTTAATTCATAGATTCCAAAATGAGAGAGAATATGAGAATTAGGGTTAAAGCAAAGTAGATGTACATTTTAAAGGAAACTGGCTAGTTGGAACTGGCACTTGAACCCGTTAAAGTTGCAGATAAACCGTTAAAAACAACTATAGGATTGTCAGATCGACTAGTGTGTAAACATCATCAATTCTATGGTGGAAGTCTAGAAAGTTCAAAGGATTAATTAGACAACTAGTTACTTAGAATGAAAGAAGTATACAACAGTAACTTAAAAAGACATAAAACTAGGAACTGAAAACAAAAGCCTGTAAGAAATAAAAGTTACTCCCAAAGAATGAAAGAAAAATAGAATTCTTACAAGTGTAAGAAAAGTAAACGTTACAGCATAGGCTGTGATGAATCAAAAGATGATGTTAAACCAAGAATGAGATCCAGTGCATAAACGATCCAAGGAACAACAAACAGCTAACCAAGCTTCAGAAAACATGAATTAGTTGGACTTAAAGGGCAAAGATCATCTGAGAATACTCAGTCTACCCCATTTGAAATAAAGAGTGCATTGTTTAAAGAATATAGCCTACAAGCTGACAGATTTGTTAATGGGAAGCCTTGCAACATGTTGATTGACAGGTTCTGAATTTACCATTATCTGTCCTGGGTTGTTAATGAAATTTCCTCCAGATACACAATCTAGGTAGTAGGCAGTGTTGTAGGCCATGTTCTTTTTTAATATTTAGATGGATTTTGATATTACAAGATGAATGCTTAGCTCAACATCTGAAATTATGTTTAAAGTTTAGGAAATAATATGAACAATATATAACATATGTTAGATGAGACTATACTAGATTATTTGATTTTTAAATCAACCATATAGTTAGTTCAGCACTAACTTTTGAGTTTGTATTTTCAAGGAAGCACCAGATATACAAGAAATGCCATACGTGTGAGAAAATTAACAATTGAGTGGAATTTCCATTGATACATTATATATTTGTGAAGTTAGGCCTATCATTAATAATGTGGAACTTGTACAAGTTGTAGATCCTGTAGTCAAAGAAATACCATTTCAACTCCTCTTTTAAGTCTTTAACAGCATCTTACACTTTACACTAGCACAGAACTACTGTATAAGATAGTATTTCCAAAATAGGTGTGTGTGTGTTTAGGAAGATTACATGTATAAATATTTCTATGTGAAAATTTGAACATTTACACACATAATAATCATTCATTGATAACTGTATGAAAGACCATTCATGAAGTGTTATAATTTTTGAAGAGTAAGTATTTTTGATTTTTGAAGATGTAAATCAAATGGCTCTGTGTTTGTTTGACAAATTACTAGATCAGCTTGAACATTCCTATTTTAAAATTATATAAATATTTTTCTACAGTTTGGCTGCATTAGAAGCAGGAGCCAGAGACCTATCACAACATCAACAATATGTTGAGAAGAAAAGACAGAAGGAACTGGAAGAAGAATTGGCTTATATTGAATGTCAACGACTAGATGGTTTGTTGAGCTACCAAGAAGCAATTAGAGCACGTCAAAATTTAGTTGAAGAAAAAAGAAGGCTGGTGAAACAAGTTAAAGCTGAGGTTAAATAATATTTATTTCTTACTTAGACTTTGAGTTTTGATATGAAACTAAAATTATTAGAAGCACTTTTTATGTAGAACTGTAAATTATGATTTATAGAATATTTAAAACATAACTATAAGGATACTGTTTACTCTATTTGCCTTTCATGATTTCTAACTGAGTATATTTAAAGTATTTTACCGTATATACCAAATCAAACTTATTAGTTAACTTTAAATTAACAACTATAAATTCACAAAACTTTGTTTCTTTCTTTACTTGTTATTTTGTTTATGCAATTTCATTGATGTAGAAAAGTCCACCTTTTAAAAACACTCAATTATAAGCTCTTTGTATTTTTGTCTACAATATACAAGTTTTGTTTATTTTATAAGATTTTAGATAATTGTTATTGTGTTATGAGAAAGGCTAGAAGTCAGTAAGGACTTAAAATGGCATTTTTAAAAATTTGATGAAAATTTGTACAACATTGTGAAAGATGTGATAGATCCTTACATAACGTAATTGGTAATAAAGGTGTCATGTTTTGTGATAATTCACTTTGAAATAGTAGCAAAAAAGTATTTATTAGTAAATCAGATAATATACACCTCTATCAGCTCCCGTGGTGATAGACAGAAAATAAATGCTTTGTCCTATTTTGTTTTACAACAGACTGGCAGAATAAGTATCATAAAGTGTTACATGTGCATTAAGTATGCCTTAGCTTCACGTTATCTACCTAGTACTCGAGTGAATGTACAGTATTATCTTTTAATCACATACATTATGACTGTCAGCAGAATCAAAGTCCTGATCAGCCACATCACTTTAAGATATTATGCTTACCTAGCATTAGAAGATGCAGGGATGTGTTCTGGTGATCGTGGAAGCCTATGTACCGTAATTTGATAAAACTTAAGCATAGCATTCCACTGTCATTTCCCTCTAGTAGTATATTGGATAACTAATTGAAGTTGTGTAACAAGAGATATTTAGAGTGAAAATCTTTGATGGTATATATCATGACTGGTGTTTGAACTATGTTAGATTAACATCATGCTTATGAGGGAAGTGTACTTAATTGTCAGTGTCCGAAGGGTTCTTCAATAAGTGACTTAATGTTTTGAGCTAATAAATGCAAATTGTGAAATCATGGTGATAGTTCTTGGAAAATATTAAACAATTGTGTGATGTACCAAATGTTGTTTGCAGAAATACAGCATGCTCCTGCTCCATTTTCTATTAGAATTCATTTAATCAGGGTAAAATTGAAAACATTTTCTGTCAAATGTTATCTTTTTCCACCTGTGTCTTGATCAGAATCTATTTCATAAGGAGCAGACAATCCTTAAATAAGTTCCATTGTAAGGAATTTATAAGTTAAACATTATCCAAAACTCACTAGTTTCTAATCTTCCCAGTGATAAATTCAACAAGTTATCTATCTTTGATTGCTTTTGTGGATTTGTTTACTTCCCTTGCTGGATATTACTTTTTGCCACATTTTTAAATAGTGCAATATTTCATTTTTGAAATTCATACCCTGCAAGACTTCCATGCAGTTACAGAAAACCTGATGAACAAATAATCCTCCATTCTGAATTCATTCCTTATATTATTCTAAGTTTGATGGCATTGTACTTTCCATATTGGATGCCTCATTATTCTTCCCATTAGTAAGGTAGCATTGAAGACACCAAGGTTGTACCCAACTGTATTCATGACCATCTTCAGTCTTACCAAAGGCCTGTGTTTGTGGCTACTACAGCTCCTAATTGAAAACTTGAATTGCTGTATCCATTCACAGCAAGACCAGCTATATCTTGACTAGTTGCAAATGTATTCTGAGCATGTGACCTTATAGGATTAAAATGAAAGTCTCTTTCAGCATGTGTTGAAAGCCAAGGTACTGTAGTATGAAGTTGTCTTAAGGAATTTTCTGGCGCTTCCTGATTCCTCATACAACTGAGGTGACATCACCAATATGAAACATTCTGTATAATACATTCCTATTCCTTAGTTTTTTAAGGCTGTGCAAGTTATGGTATGCATACCTGTTAGGTAAGTCCATTACAGAAGATAAACGTGTTATATTTTCTACCATGCCTTGCCATTTCCACACACATCTTGCACTTTTAACCTTTTGTGAGATAAGGTTATCAATACAACAGACAGTACTGAGAGGTCATAATGTTATTTTATAGGTTATTAGTTAAGATACATTTGAAGTACTATGTTCAGTTTTGGGCTCCTTACCCTAGAAAGGACATTGATTTTTGTGGAAAGGGTTCGGAGGAGGGCTACTAGAATGATACCTGGGATGGAAAGGTTGTCATGCAAGGATATTTTAAGGTATCTAAACTTGTTTTCTCTTTAAAGAGGAAGAGTTAGAGAAGATCTTATTATGGTGTTTAAGATTGTTAAGGGAATTGATAATGCTAATGCCTTATCTTTTTTTCATATTTAATGGTGAGAATAGTAAGGGGTATGGGATAGAAATATAAATTTTGGCAGGATAGATGTCATCTTCAGCATAGACAGGTTTGTTTCTCTAACAGGGTGTTTAGCCTACGGAATGGGTTGCTTTCAGATGTGGTAGATGCAGTTAATTTTAGTGAACTTAAGGGAAAGCTTCATAAATATTTCTGAGTTTTTTAATGTTTAATTCATTTAAGTTGGTAGGACAGCCTAGATGGACCAAAATTACCCTTGTTGTCCTTTAATGTTATGAAAGTTGCCTCAAACTGACATATCCATATGCACAATGTTCATTGCAGGTATCAATTCCTCTACCTAATGTATCAAATCACAGCTTTGAAGAATATTACAATTAAAGTAGTTTATAACAAATGGCTTTATGATAATGTTTATATCAGATGTTCAGTTCAAGATTAACTACACTTTCTGAAACCACATATCCACCCCTTATTATTGTGATGACGTGGCCTGTTTTGGACCCTCTAATGACACCCAGCCTTCAAATCCAATTCATTGTGTTTATTTTTCTTCAATAGCCTTTTAACAAATAAATTGAAAAATAGTTCCCCTGCATTCTCAACACAAAATATGTATTAATGAGAGTATGGAAGTTATAGACAACAACTGAAATACGATATGCATATGACAGTTGTTTCAAGAATGTGTACATAAAAATCATGATTATTCAATTTCCCTGATCATATTTCTCATTTCATTTATAGAAACATAAAGTACAAAACCATATATATTTGAAAATACTGTTTCATGAAATAGCTTGATTACTGTCTGATTAAATGAATGTTTACTTAAAAATCATTTTATAGTTAGCTAATGTAACACTTGTGACTTAGTAATTTTTTATATTATTGACTGGTTTATAGACTGAAGAGAAACTGAGAATTTATTTGCAAGAAAAGATTCAAACAAAGAAGAAATTAAGGTATGTGTTTTTTTGTTTTTGTTTACAGTATTGTAACTTATACTTGCTATAAGGTAACTCAGAGATATAACAATAAATTGACGATGATTTATAAGCATAATGAAATGGTTTATCTCTGGGGTAACATGTTTGGACAGAACCTGAAGAAGACAAACCAATGTTCTGTTGAAACATCTAGTATGTTCCCAATTTTCTGTCAGTTTACTATAATAGTTGTATAATGTGCTTCCTTCCATACACTAGTAACTTAAAGATATGTAGATAAATAATTTTATATTTTGATTCAACCTGGTAGTACTTGATTTGAGGTTATGATGCCTATGCATATTTTGACTCCACTAAAATTGATAAGTACTGTAGACATGGAGTCAAAATAGGGACTTATAGCTTGAGAAAATAATGTAGACACTATTTCCAGCATAGTTTTACTTTTTTAGAGTCCCTAATTGAGGGCTTGAAAATATAATCTTTGTATTGTGATTCAACATGTTTCTTTGATGATCCCTATCCTCCTTTTTAAATTTACAATTTTTACTAATCTTGTGTGTATATATATATATACCTAAAGCTACCTAATACTTTAAATAACATGACAGCAGTCATTGTAGTTAGCTAAATTCAAACATTGTGAACCTTAACTGTAAGGTAAAAAACAAAGGGTGTTCTTCCTGTTGAGGTTGCAACGGTGCGAGTGTTCTCATACTTTCTTGTCTTTGTGTTTAATTTATTCTAAGCTACTAAATATCTAATGTCTAAAGTTTCTGATCCAACTTCTCTGAAGAAGGAAAATCATCATTCTGAAACATAGGAAGAATTTGTAAATTTATTAAATTGTTCTGTTGTAAATTAAGTGTATCTATTATGAGTTTAACTCATTTGTGCAGATTTGTTTAAACATGTAAATATTTGACACCTTGATTTCAAATTTAGAACTACAAATATGTAGAACAAGTATGAATTTCTAATCTTAGGCAACTAGTAGAAGAAATTTTACAAGGAAAAGATAAGACAAAAAGAGCCCAGGAAAAACTTAAGAATTACAAGAAAAAGATAGGTAGGATCTGCTATGTGTAAGTATGATTACAGAATGACGGTTGTTGCTCAAGATACCAATAGAAAGAAATTAACTCACCTAAATAAAAACTTTATTCTGTTTTGTGCAACATTTTGAACAGAATCCCATTGCTAAACAATAAATGCCATGTTATTCATTTCTGTGTTACAAAGTAATTAGGCTAAGAAATAATTATTTAAATGTTAGAAAATACAGAAGTTCTAACTACACACCTACATGGAACACTAACAAAAATATTACTTGAGGACAAACGTTTTTACCTTTTTTCAACAAGAGTACTGAAGTTTGTAAGAAAATGGTAAATCATACTTTAATTTCAACTGGTGTAAGCAGTCTTAAAGAAACCTGGCTGAGGAAAAGTTTAAGAATTACAAGAAAAAGATAGGTAATAATTGCAATTTTTTAAATATAATTGTTTTAACTGGTATAAGAGTCTTAAAGGTAAAGATGAAGCAGAAGAGAAAAAGCTTAGGAAAAGTTGAGAATCATAAGAAAAAAAGATAGTTGAGAGCTGCAGTGTTTTTGGTGTCATTCAGTATCAGTTCCAAGAGTAAAACACAAACATTAAAATAAGTTAATTAAAGGAAAACCTTGTTCCTGTTAAAAGTAAACTTTAGAGATAACTGCACTGTTGCAAGCAACTTGTTATTATTTGTAATTTTTTATTTTTGCAACATTTTGGCATGAGATTTTATCTTCCATATTGATGTTCTATAAATACCATAATAAAATATTATTCTTTTATCAATCTGTAAAAATAAGTCATAAATATTGAGGTATCTTAAAATTATGAATTTACTATGTAGAAGTTTCTTTATAAAGCAGAAAATTACAAAAATTATGTAATTTCTTTGATCAGTAGCTTAATAATAAAAATTAATGCCATAACTAAAGTGATGTTTTAACAAGAATATATATGTCATTGTGCCATAAATTAGCAGTAATTTAGGTGTAATATGGTGATAGAAAGAAACCATTCATATTATGTAGTTTTCTCTGTATCTTCTTTTTTGGAATAATGTTTTGCAACAACTTTTCTATAATAAAGAAGATCACCTTATTGCATCAAATCAGATGCACAGAGGTGTACAAGTGTTACATTAAACAGTATGATTATGATAGTACTTACCTTTGATCTGATTCAGAAATTTAGGGTTAAACAAGGCATAAAATGTAATGTCTTGTCATGGAGGAACATCCTATTTGTGTTTACCACAAACATATCAGAAATTTTATTCATATAAAATATCCAGTAAACTTTATTAATGTTTTGAATTTATTTTGATACCTTTGAATAAATTATGAACATGTATAATAAAAATAAAAGAGCAAAGCTTTTTTTTTGCATTTAATGAATAGTTTTTCATTTTTTCACTGTATTATTTTCAATAAAGCTTAAGATTCAAAGATTTAACTATGCTTATGATCCATTATCATAAAACTTTTAATGAATTTTCAGATTCACAGTTTGAACCTGTTGACTTTTAGTTATGAAGAAATACTGAATGTTTAGTTCTCAAGAACTGATATGTATTGACTTTAACTAATATATGTATTCCTGTGTAAACATTGTATTGCTACACAATTTTTTCTAGCATATGTAGCCTTAGAATGACCACTTGTGAAAACACCACCAGAGTAAATACTAGTAGGGTAACACACTTCAAATTTAACATAAAATACAATATAAAGGTTTATAAGTTACAAATTTTGAATAATGTTTGCTGAATTCACACTTTTGGGTTTATTCATGTATTTTATTAAAAAATGTTTATGTGGATATATACAGTGTATTTAAAATTTGTGTGTAAGATACTTTTGTATTTTTAGCATTATTTATGAAGAGTACTGATTTCTTGTAGATATAGAGTGTAATATGAGTGTTAAGACAATTACACAGAGGAAAACACTTTTAAATGTTTTTGAGACCCACAAGAATTTAGTGTGTTGTAGTATTACCAAGGATAAATCTTGCAAATAAGATGTAATATGCTAGTCAAGTTTCTTTTAGGTGTCTCTTGTGAACTGAGTTGGACTATGTGACTATTAGTTATCAATTGTAGTATTTATTTGTACATATATCTCATGATAGTAGGGAAAAGAAGAAATTCATTCCAAAATGTTTTTCAGTATTCATAATTCTTTGTAATGTTAATATCCAAATAACTAAACATTACAAAAAATATTTGAAATTCATAATGCAATGAGACAAATTTGTAAGAAGGTAGTTTTTGTAATTGAACAACTTGTCATCTTGATGTTATTTTCCAAAACATTTTTATCATAAGAAAAAATACTTCTGTTATGATATCATACTTCCTCTTACAAAAAGCTTTCTCAACATGTACTGTCCTCTATCTGTGCAAATTGTCGTTCACCACTAGCTATATTACTGACATGCAAGTGATCCTGCAGCAACCCTCCACCAATAGGAGCATGACACTACCCCCTATCATAACTGGCACCCTCTCTAATCATACACATGTTAATTTGCCTGGCATTTTCTTCCTTTTCTCCTTATGATTGTTGCCTTTTTCATGTTTTCTTCCCATCAGATCTGTCGCATTACCATGTCCCTGGCTGCACATTTCCATTTTCCCTTGGTAGGACATCATCAGTGCTGTGGTGGTAAGTACTCCATTTGATGTTGCCTAACCAGATACACTTACTCTTATGTCTGCACTGAACATCCTGTGAACATGCTAGATGACTGTGACTTTTGAGACTCTTCCTATCATGGATCTAATGTACAATTCCAGAGGCTGCCAGGTGTTGGTTGATTGACTCTGTCAATGTGTTCTCTGTGTTTTCAAAATAAAATGTCATAACACTTATCCAGGTGATATTACACTCAACTTTTAAGATGAAGTGTTCTGTAGGACTGCTCATAGGTATACCTTTTAGTATTTTGCTTCATAAATATGTTTGTCCAGGGCCGTATACTCGTGGACTAATATGAGTAAAGCAGACAGAGATTACTGCTCATCTCTGATGATCTGTGGCATTTGAGGCTCTTACTACCGTGGACCTGATGTACAATTCTAGATACTACCAGATGTTGGGTGATGCACTTCATCAACGTGATCACTCTGCTTTTCAAAATAAAGTATTGTAGTCACCCATTGCGCAATCTCTGGTGCTGCAGTCCTCTGGACTCTCCAATATACTTTTCCCTCCTTCTAGTGGAGTATGGGAGTTCTTGCTACTTATCAGTTCCTAGCTGTTGTGGTGTTGGACCATGGAGGCCTGTTCTCTGGAGTGTGCACAATACTTCTCAGTTTAAGAGTAGGGCAGTGGCATTCTGCAGGTGTCAGTGGCATGACACCCTTTTTAACATGGACCTGATGTACAATTACAGATGCCACCAGATATATTGCAGTTTGCCCCTACGGATATTGGTTTTCTGGGATCAAATGTTGTTTGGAGATGGTCCAGCCACATAAGTTCTCACACGTATTTGGCTAGTACCCTTTTCCTGTTGCGGACTAAACAATAAATTCTCAATGCCGCTAGGTTTTGGACTGGAGATGCAACCCAAAACTTGCAATCCATTTTCCTACCATCTGATGGATGTTGGTTTCTGGTGAATCTAGTGTTGGTTGTAGCTGATACACATAACTAACCATTTGTGTAAGGCTGGGTACCCTCTTTAAACTGCAGACTGGAAGAAAACATTCCCATTACTGTCAAGTTTTGGACCAGAGATGAACACCCACTTAGGCTTTCCTCCTCCTTACCAGCTGCCAGATATTGGTTCCCGGTGGATCTGATGTTGGTTGTGTGCACATGCAGAGACAGGTTCTTGGTACAGAAGTTTCTCTTCCCTACCAGTACCTGTTTTTGAGATGAAAGGTAGAGGACCATCTTCCTAACACAAACCTGATCTACAATTCCAGATGCCTCAAGGTGTTGATTGAGGTTGACCTCCCATTTACAGTCCCATTTAGTTTTATGATTAACCTTTTCACTGTTAACCATTTATCCTTTATGAAAAGTGGTAAGCATTGTCACATTACGTTTATTATGCCAACGTATGGCCAACAAATTATCACTTTTCTTCCTTTCACATTCATCAGATTTCAGCTTAGCAAACTTAGAAACATTCTTCCTGTTTTCTCTTACAGTTCTACAAGTGCAAATACTATGTGAATCCCAATTTAAAGATAGACCAGGACTAGAGTACCAATTATCAATGTACAACAGGTGGCCTTTCCCTTCATATTTCTGTATCAATTTCTTCACAATGGCACCTGAAGCCCCATGAGGATCTTTTTTAGCAACATCAATATCACTACCTGCATAAATAACAAGATCCAAAATAATTCCTTTTTCACAATCACAGAGAACTTGGATTTTTATTCCGAATCTATGATGCTTTGATGGTATGTATTGCTTAAATATCAATCTCCCATTAGGGATTCATCAATTACATTTTTTTGGAATGAGCAGAAAAAAGCAGAAAACTTTTCCTTCAAAATAGCAATCACTTCCCTTATCTTCCACAATCTATCACTTTCATCAGGAAGCTCATTATCAGCAAAATGAATGTATCTAAGTAGTTCATGGTGTCTTTTGACCAGTACTCTTTTATTGTTCTTTTTTTCACATGAGGTATTAGTAAAATAAATGCAAAAATAGAGTACATTTCATCAATTGATGTCTCACTCCAGTGCTGGCTTTTTACCTTTTGATGTACATCATAATTGTGTACACGATACATATTAGTATTGTCTACAATATTCTTCGTAAGTTCACTATCGAAATAAGCTAGAAAATATTCAATAACGGATGCATTCTGTTGAGTAGGAAATGAAGCACAAATTCCTGAATTTTTGTTAGAGAATGAATATTCATGAGGCACAAAATCATCCCCATTCTTCCACGTAATATTACCAGTATCACTATTATCTGAACATGCCTCAAGCTCACTTTTATCACTTGAAATATTATCGCTATCTGAAGGAATGTCACTCAAGTCAGACATTTCTTCTTCATCACTCCATTCATCTATAATTTTACGCATTGATTAAGGGCTAAATGGACATTTTTTGGTACGCATGAATGAGGAAGACACAGATGGTTCATACATGATGAACAAATAACTGAAAGAAAGTGTATCTATTTCAAATACAACTCATTGTTTTACAGTAAATACAGCCTTCTGTAAATAGTTATTTCATTTGCTAGCATGTGATGATGTAGAGGTAGCTGGATGGTTCATTGGATGGTATCTAATGACATAAAGGTGTTTATCCAATCAAATTATAACTTTAAAATGCATTAACTAATGAAAGTAAGCAAAAGAAAAAGAGGGGAACTATAGTGATTTTAAAACTGCACCTGTCTGTAATAAATAAGAATATGTGTTTATATGCCTCACCCTGCTCTCAAGCAAGATACACTGTGTTTATTTACCACACCCTACCTTAAAGGGTTAAATTGAAAATGTAATTCCGATAGATACTTACCTCCCCTTCACATTTCCCACCTGTCCTCCCCACTTCCAGTGTGACTTGCTTTGGTTAGTTATGCTCAATCTCGAAGTGATTAATATGTGCATGAGTAGAGAGGGCGCTTGTTATGATAGGGGTTGTGTCTTGCTCTTACTGGTGGAGGGTTGCTGCATGATCATTTACATGTTAGTATGCAGTAATAAGTGGGAGTAGCAAGACTAGTGGCGAGTGAAAATTTGCACTGATAGAGGGCAGTACAAGTCGAGAAAGCTTTTCCTGAGAGGAGATAAGTACCTATTGGAAATACATTTTCAGTTTAGAAAAATGTTAACATTTTATCAGTTCAGATTATTACAGTTATATTTGTCCTTTATGTTTTTCAGAGCTATCAACTTCTGATATTGTAAAAGCTTTTAGCAAAAGTAAAATTTCATAGATTATTCTGAATGCGATCTTCACATTTGCCACAGAAAGGATGATGGAATAACTTTTCAAAACCCCAAAATTGTATATTTAATATATAAAACAAATTATAACCATTACAATATAAAATTATCAAAATATAAACCAGGGATTTGTATCAACAGTCCAAATAATGTACCAGACTTACAACAAGGTCTTGTATATCACAGTGACCCATTTGGATTGGTCACTTAATGATTAGTTTGTTTTTCAAAAATGTCTGTTTTTTACGTTTTAGATATAATGTACTTGTACATGCATTAGTTGTGTTCTTGGCTGAGATCAATTCATATGCTTAAAGTGATACCAAAGAAAACTAGAAATGTTTAGTTTGTAAACTGAAAAATATAATAGAGGTGTCTGTAAAACTTAATGTGTGAGATTCTGAATTTTACATAATGTCTTTTATTATTAAGATATGAGAGTCAAAAGAAATTACATTAAAAATAAAATGTTTGTGTTCATGAGAAGTGAAAAAAGATTACATTGTAGTGTTCAAAGATAATTTTGTTACATATTTATACCTTAGTACAGCAAATGACCAAAGAGAATCAAGAACTAATGAAAAGAGCCTTCGAAGAGGTATTGTGTGTTTTGAAAATCTGAAGTGTGTGTATAAACATATAATGTTTTAATATCTCTCTTTTGCTTGTATTTCTGTACTTTCATATCATGAATTGGAAAAAAGTAATCATTTGTTTCTTACAGTTTTTGTTTTTAATTCTGCTTTAATTGAATAAAAAATACATTTTAAATAAATTATATTTGTTAGTGCACAATAAAATACAGAGTATGTAGAAAACTACCCAATAGTATACAACTAGTCCCAGCTTAGATAATAATAATAAAATGCACATCAATTATTCTAATTAAAATACAATTCCGATACAGTATCTTACCTCTTCTCCCATAATAGTTTTCTTGATGACTACTGTCCTCTATGTGCACAAATTTTCACTCACTACAAGCCTTGCATGCGACAACCCTCCACTAATAGGAGTGTGATACACTGTCCTAGTGAAGCTAGCTCCCTCTATACTGTAGAACCCAATCTTCATTTTTCTATTTGGCACAGTAGAATGCAGAAATTTCAAACTTTCTCTTGTGTTTACTTAGTATTTTGCATTAACACTTTGATTTGTTAAACAACTTTCTTTGTTGTTTATAGTTTTGCTTAACAATTTTTGTTTCTGTTGTTGATATTTCATTATCCACCCTCAGCTGAATTTTCAATTCTGAATTTCAGTTCATAACAACTACTACTACTACTGTTGTTGATATTGCAACTTTACTTCAACCTGCAGTTTCTTAGACTTCAGGGTTCATTCTCTCTGCTGAGGAGGTCTTGGTTAAGGATGTCATGAGTTAGGGTCCATTATGCAGTCTGCTGTGTCTCCTGATCATAGACCAGGTCTTCCTTTTTCTGGGGAATCTCTACACAATGATGCTGACTTAAATAGCCTGTTTCCTTCTCCTTCCTTTGCCATCCAATCCTGAATTCCTTATTGTGGAAGCACCCAGCTCATTTTCAGCTTTCTTAGATATCGTGTCATAGGTATATTACCTGTTGTCTATATTTCCTGTGCCTAATGGTTCCTCTCCTTCTCTCTGTAATTCTGCTTCTTCCTTGGATTAACTTGTTTGTTTGTTTGTTTTTTTCCTTCTCCAGAGGTCAGAGTATGTGTGGACCAGTTTATTGCACTATTATGTTCTGACGTGAGCATGCCTTGCCCCCTTTGTGCCTTGGATTTTTATGCATAAGTGTACCTTCATTTGGGTTTTCCATTTATGGACATTCAGACTTTGGAGTTTTTGATTCCAGTTTGGGGATCTGTCCTTGATACCGCTTGAGGTACTTCCCAGGTCCACATTTTCCATCTCTGTTTGATACTATTTAACCTCCTGCATTACCCTTCCTCTATCCATTTCATAATTATGGCTATCCACCACTTCCCTGAGGGGTTGTCAGAGGATACTCACTCCCTGATGTATTTCACTCTGGTGCATTTGTTCTCCTTGGCTCCTCTGTAGGTGGGGACATCTTGGGTGGAAATACACTTCTAGCTAATGTGCACCTACCCATGTCTTATTTCCAGGTCCTTCTTATGGCTTCATTTTTATGCCTATGTTTACCTCCCTTCCAATCCTAGTGTGCCTCATGTCTTTGACAATTTTACCTGACTGTTTCCAATACCTTCCATTTTTCTCTTTCTCGTACAGTGTTTTCTTCTTCTGTCCTCTCTCTCTTGTTTTGCTCCTTTCATCTCCTCTGTCCACCTCATCCTATGCTCCTTCCAGTTTGAGACTTTAAAGTAGTTCTGCAGGGCCTTAACCAACCTCCTTTGGAACCCTTGGTTACCTGTTTAGTATAATACTTGTCCTTGAAGTCCTATTTTTTGCTCCTCTTTGCCTGTGGTTATCATATATCTAATGTTTTTTTTTACCCTTGACATTTCACTTATCATTTAACACTGCACCTATGTTTCTTCTGTAACCAGATCACAGTTTTTCCTTGGATGTCAGTGACTCAGGAAGGTGACATCACATTCACAACTATTTCCCTTCCTTCCTTTTCCCATTTATTCCACTCTGACCCGAGTCATCTTTTCTGTCCTGTTCATGCTCTCACCTGCTATTTGCCTGCACAGCTTCCTTCTGTGATTCCCATTCTCACCTATTTACCTGTTTGAACCTTTCCTCTTTCCGAGATATTTCTCCTATTACTCTTTAGGATTGGGTGCACCAGTTTATGGGGTTGGCTTATTCTTCTTTGTCTTCCATCTCCCAATGTCTTTTTCAGGTATCCTTGCATCAGATCCAATACCCTGGCTGCCCATTTCTGTCAGCCATAGAGGGAGATCATCAAGGCTGGCATGTGGACCATGGCACACACCTTCATCATGTGACCGTCTCTTCATTGAGATACTAAATACTGCCCATTGCTATCCTCTACAACTCGGTTCAACTGTTTTTTATATTTATTTCCTTACAGTGGCCCACTTTTACATGTTGGGTCCCACTCTGTGATGAGTAGTGCCTGTCCAGCTTTACTAATCCACAAATCACCACTGTATGGCTTTTCAAGTCTATAATGCCCACTGTTGAGATGGGGTGTTCTGCAAGACTGCTAGTAGGTTCATCCTCACAGTATATTGCATTATAAATATGTCCGTCCCAGACTATACAAACTCCTGGACTATCATGGGTAAAGCAGGGAAGGGATTGCTGCCCATCCCTCTGTTCCTAGTTGAATACATCAGGTTCAGTCTTCTTTTAAAAATAGGGTTCAGTGGTCATCCATTGCACTTTCTCTAATGTTGCATTCCTCTGGACTCCCCACCACACTATTTCCTCCTCTTCCCTGTGGAATATGATAGTCCTTACTACTAATCAGCTCCTAGCTGCATGGGTGGTGGACCATGAAGGCTTCCTTCTTAGTGTGCTCAACCCCACTCAGTTGAGAGTAGTGGGTGGTGTTCTACTGGTGTAGATGGTATGTACTCTCCTCTTACCACAGACCTGATGTACAATTCCAGATGCTGTTTGGTTATGGACTGGATGAATCCACCACATGCAGTTCACCCCTCTGACTGGGAACCCTCCTTCCTACTACTGCCTGGATGTTGGTTCCTGGGTGTCCTGGTGTTGATTGGAGCTGGACTGGCCAACATAAGTCCTCACATTTGTGGTTGGGCTGGGACATTCCTTCTACCACAGACTGGGCGATTTATTCCCAATGCTGCGCATTTTGGATTGGAGTTGACCCTCCACATTGCATTCCACCTTCCTACTGTTGCCCAGATGTCAAGTTCCCGGGTGGCTGGTGTTGGTTATGTACTAGGACTGCATGCATGTGCTGGCCTGGATTTTCAAAATAGAAGTTCTCTTTCGCTTCTTATTCCTGGGCCTGTGTCTGCACTCTACTGTGCCTAATTGAGAAGTGAAGATTAGGTTCTACAGTAACAAGGGAGTCGGCTGCATTAGGAGGATGTTTCGCACTCCTATTGATGGAGAGTTTTTGCATGCTACAATGCAGCTGTGCCGCATCAAACACGTGAAAGTAGGTAGGATCACAAGGCTAGTGGCAAGCAAAATTTGTGCATGGAGAGGGCATTAGTCATTAACAAAAGCTATTATGTGAGGTAAGTATCTATCAGAAATACATTTTCAGTGTAGTAAAATGTTAACTTTACTAAATATACAAACTGTTATAGTGAAATGACTTGGATTTGAAATGCATCTTTAACACATTATTACATTTTCTAGATGGAAAAGGAGTTACAACAGAAAGCTCAACTAATTAAAGAAATACGAGCAATGGAAGCATGCTCTCTGATTCGACAGCCAAAAGTAGTGGATCCTACTCAAACTTCAGGAATGGGGTTTTTGACTGAGATGTCTTTATTTGAAGTAAGAGAGAATGTATATCTTAAATGCTGCATTTTTCTTTTCATCTTTTTCAACCTTCATTCTAGAATTTAATATTTAGATAAACAGAAAGAAAGCAACAAATATCTGTCAGTCTAAGTATTTCAGGATAAACTGGTTTTAGTAAATCATTTATGCAAAAGAAATGAAACTCAAACTAGATATAATTGAATGTGATTACTATGAGATTAAAATGGTCTGATACACTGGTAACCTTATGATTCAGATTCATATCTTAAAAACCAGTCCTTTCTTTTATGATTATGTCCAATATTATTTGTAAAATATTCATAAACAGAGAGAAAGACAAGCAAAAAAACAAAGGAATAAATATATTACAGTCCATATTAGTTGGAGCAAGTTACTTATACCAAAAAAATCAAACTCAAACTAAATATTGTAGGTGGATTTGATTACTATAAGATTAAATTGTGTGACACACTGATAACCTTACGATCCAAGCACATATTTTAAAAAGAGGTCAGTTTTTTTTTACCTTCTGCATATTCCCAATATTAACTTATACAACCTATATAGATCATTATGTGGCCCATGCAGTCTTAAGAGAGTGGCACAAGATAAAAGTTTCTGCCCCTCAATTACTGCATTTATTCCACTTGAGAAGTTATAAAGCTGCGTGTATTTGTTCATGTCACCATTTGTTGTTATATTTCAAATAATCTGTTTGATAAGCTAGAGGAATTATTATAATATGTTACTGTCTTTCTGGAAGACTATGTATTAAACAGAAAGTATGGGGTAACCATGTGCTATATATTTTCTCAAAGTGACTGTATTAAGATTTTTGCTGTAATAATGAGAGAGAATTTCTGTAAATCTCTTTAAAACTGTGGAGCAAGGTGACCTTGAGTATCTTGTGGGAACTAAATGTTGTCAACAATGTGAAATGGTGTAGAACATTGTTACTGTTATCTAACAACTCAGGATGTTTGCTTCAAATGTCTTTTCTTTTCTTCCATAAACTACTAGTGATCAGTTGATTTTACTATAGTTGTTGCTCACAGATAGCAAGAATGCTACAAAGTCCATCATAATCTCTATGAAGTTTGTTCAGTCATCATTCCTAAGTGCGGTGCTAGTACTAGGTTAATTATTTCCTGACACGTTTTAGATATAACTTCATTTTGAATTCTTTATGCTACAGCTTTTCAAAGTCCATCATAATCCCTATGAAGTTTGTTCAATCATCATTCCTAAGTGCGGTGCTAGTACTAGGTTAATTATTTCCTGACACGTTTTAGAGATAACTTAATTTTGAATTCTTTACTTTCATATGGGAAGACAAATCAAAAGAAGTTTGTTGATTGCTAAAAATTCAGACTAAACAAAAGTTATAGAGCAGACCTATAAACAGTGGAAGACTAAATATATATTGCTTTTGATCAGTGTCTTTAGTATAGAAAGACCTTTGAAAATAACACCTAGAAATAAACATAGACTTAGTAATTACTGATATAAGTGAATACTATGGTAAGAGTAAACTTTAAAGAAGTTAGAAAATGATACACAAGCTGGAATAAACATTTCTTGAAGTATAAAAGACATTTCAGGTGTTTCAGAGGTTTTAGAAAATGAGAACAAACTGGTGGTTGGGAAGGAGAAGTGACAAAGTTCCTGAAATCAAAAATATTTAAAAACTGAAATGTACATGTTACAAATACATTAATATACTGTATATATTCAATGATGTTAACTTTTCTTGTACTTGTTAAATTTTGCCTGTTTCTTTTTCTGTTATTTTGTTCATAGGTAATTTTATGTTAGACATAAATGTACTTCAAATAGAACTCTTGTAGCAAGTGTATTCCCACTTCTGTAAAAGAGGCATTTCCTAATTATTTCAATATCTGGAAGAAGAAATATTATATATATGTTGAGAAAGCTGGAATATTTGGTTTTTGTGAGGTACAAAAATGAGACAGAATATTGTACATGTTTAGAGCTGACAAAACTGTTTAACTTTCAACCAAAAATTAGTTTCACAAGTGAGATGAAAGATACACAGGAAACATTATTTGAGGCAGCCAAGAATATAAATGATGAGTAATGCTGTCAAAGATAGGTTTGGGAATTGAAGAGTTAATTGCTGTTGATGATATGTATTATCATCTTGTTATTCAACAAACACAGCACTAGCAAATGATGAACAAATAGTAAAGTATCAGGGAAAAGTGTTCCCTATGATATTGCAAGAGGTGTTACTTCAGTTGTTCCTTACTAAATAGAAAAGTTATTATGAGTTATCTTATTATAAAAATAAGATATTATTCTGGAGTTTCTCAAAGTTATGAAGTTCAAGTGTTGAAGAAAAGATTGCAAAAATCATTATAAAGAGAGAATCAGACCCTAGCAAAGATGTTCAAGTACACCTGAGAAAGTGTATTCAGTTAACATTTCCATCAGTAAAGTAATAGAAGGGTATAAAGATGAATAGTTTATGTCTGCAAGAAATATATGCCACTGAGATATAGTAAAGAGATTTGTACATTGCATTACGATATGCATGGAGTATTTTCAAAGACCTGAATTGACCATCAGATAGAACCAAGGTTATTTCATTAGATACACAGAACAGTACTTGACCACTAACATGATAATGAAACAATCAGTTGAGAAAGAAGAGATTCAGGTGATTAAAGTGTTCACAATCGTATATTGCTGATTGTATATGGTCATATATTTTGCACAAATGGTAGAACAAAAAGTAACTGACTGAACAATCAAATTATAACAAAATTTTTAAATTATAACAAAATTCTCAGGCACAAACAAATAAATGTCTGAGAACTCTACAAGTGAATACTTAAAATTAAGTTTATAATGAAAAATTGTACTTGAAATCATTAACAACGACCCATGCAACTAAAAAATACAGAAATATAACTCTAAAACATTATTACATGCTCAAGTTGATTATTAGCTTCAATGATACATTATGTTACATCATAAACATGGAGGTAAGCAACCAATTTCACTACAAACAAATAGAAAAAAAGTAATGATTTTGATGAGAATGAGATTGAATTTCAGGATTGCAGTGATGCCAATGAATATCAGGATGATCTTCATAATAGTGGAATTGAACATTTCTGGAACTGTGATGGTAATTTTGACTGGAAAATGTAAAGATCTTAAGAAATGTACAAACAAACATAGAAATAATTAAAAAGAGATGTGTGTGTATATAAATAGAGACGACAGACCAATCAACGCATCCCATTGGAATACTTATTTAACTTAAGTATTCCCCCATTTATAATTTACTTTCCACTCCTTGTTTTTTGTAAAATGAACTCACTCATTAATGGTTTATAGCTGAATATATTCTAAGCTAACACTGTAGATATTAGCTCTGATGATGGTAACTCTGTTACTGAAACTAGTTGGCTGTAACTAATGTGATGAATTTATTATTATATATTTATTTCAATATCAACGTTTATTTAGATAAAATTTATATTTAAAGACATGCATAGCTTATAGTGTTAAATATGTATTGTGAAATTCTGCCTATTTTCCAAAGAAGATTTGTAGAAGATTCTCGAGAATAAGAATCAACAATATGTGTGTGTACGTAAACACTTGTGTTAGCGTCAGTATTGTTACGTAAAATTCAAATTTTTAAATATAACCAACACAACGTGCCAAAAAAGAGGAGTATCTATTATTGGCTTGCTATAGTTGGTGTGCTATAAACTTTGGAAGCTATAACTGTGATTGTTGTAATATTTATCAATCGGAAAACTTCAGATATTTGACCAGGAGCATTTACAAAGTTTGAACATTACAAGTCATTTAACTTCAATAGATTCTCATCGGACATTAGTACTTTTACGAAAACATTACCTAACTTCAACAGTAAAAAACTTGGCGTGTGTTGCTGGTGAATAACAAAGGACTAAGCTAGCTAGTTTCCCGTTAAGCGAATTGTACCCGTGTCAACTCATAATTAACTCGCTCATCGTGAACCCTCGATAAGATATCAAGGAAGTTCCAGACTAG